AAGCCCTTAAATCCTGTGAAAAGTGTGAGAACAATAGAAAGCGTGGCGCTGAGCGGTGGCCTAGTGGTGGAAGGGCCCTGATGGGGAAGGTGGAGGCTGGAGTTCTTGCCCGGCTCTGCCCCTGACCCACAGCCTGACACAGGATCAGTTAAAGGACATCCCTTCACAACCATAGAAATGAGATTGGCCTTGAAGGTAGGGTTCTGTCGTGAATTTTCTATTAAGAATCTTATCCCTCAAGAGAGACAAAATGAACTCATGAAAGAATTAAAGAACTACTGGAAACTGCCTAGGTAACCACAAAGTTGGACAGTACAATAAAGGGTCCAGGAGCCCAGAGTTGGGAAACTTTGGGTTGAGAAATCCAGGAGGGGTTCCTGGAAGAGGAGAGCCCCAAGCTGGGCTTTGAAGAATAACTAAAATTGGGGCAGTCTGAGAGGAGGAGGACACCGTCAATGGAGGCATCGTGCTGCCTTGCTCAGAAACGTTCACTGGCTCCCCAGGCCTACACGAGCGTCCAAATGTGGCATTCAAGACTCTGTACAGCCTGGCCCAGCGCCTGCCCAGCCTGCTCACCTTGACCTCCCCCAGAGAACCCCGCCCTCCCGCACCCTGAGCCGTTCCCCTGCCCTGAACCTGCCACACAGACGCGGACTGCTGCCTGAATTCCCTTCGTCCTCCTCTATCTGCATTGGTCAGTGCCCCCTTCCCCGCTTCCCCCCTTCAGCTTTGAGCATCCTGTTCCCTCTTTCTCTCTGAACTCTGTCCTGTTTGCTTAGGGTCACACATGGACAGATCCTGACCCGCTAAACTGTAGACACCGCCGTGGTTTACTCCTGCCTGGGGGCCACATGCCACACCCATGGCTGGTGTTTGACAAATGCTGGATGAGTGATCAAGCTGCAACCCAGGTGCACAGAACAGGTCATTCATGGTTATAGGGGACCATGAACTTGTGGCAAGAGGCACTGGACACGACTGACCTGAGAGTGTAGCCCGCGCTGCTCTGGGAGGAGTGTCTCAGGGCTGGAGGGGCTCAGGTGCCATTTAGTCCAGTCCATGTCATATAAACCCTCCACGGCATTGCAGACAGCAGGCCGGACCCCACACAAGCACCTCCAGCGGGGGCAGGCTGAGCACGCTGCAGCTCCAGCACGCTGCTGAGGTACAGCAGGAAGGCTGTGGGCTGTGGGGCCTGACTGCCCTGGACTCAGATTTCAGCTCTGCTATTTGCCAGCTGTGTGGCCTTGTGGAAGCCACTTAACCTCTCTGAGCCTTGGTTACCTCTAATATTTCCTCCTTTCACAGGTGTTGTAAGGATTGTAGAAAATATACCCAAAACCAAAAACAACCCTCCAGCTCATAAAAGGTGACGAATTAGTAGTAACTAATTCTATTTTTATGACATATGATTAGTTGTTGCACGTGGCTGGGGAAGGTTTTGTGGAGGGTTCAAAGAAAGTTCTAAGTAACAGAATTTGGGTTTAAACCCAACAGTCTGTCATAATTACAGTGACCTTGCTGTGGGACTTATTAATGGTCTCATATGAAGATGATGTATCAAAGCTGTTCGAGATCGTGGGTTTCCAAGCTTTTCCCACAAGGACACAGCTCTCAGTGAGACCCCTGCTAGCCCACCAGGGCCGCTGTAGAGATACAGAAAGCCGTAGAGGCTGGCCTGGGAGAGGTGACCCAGAAACAGTGCTTACGGCCAATGTCTACCTCTCTCAGTCCTGATTCTGGGGGCAGGCAGAGTAGGAGCAGAGAACCCAGGTTTCTGCCATCAAATCTTCGGGAGCCCGGTTGTTACTGGTTTCGCTGCTAGGAGGTCCAGGCCAAGTGTCAGGGGTTTGGGCAGGCTTTGGTCCTGAAGGGCAGGAAGGAAGGAGGGAAGGCCTGGAGCCTTGGGCAGGTGATGGTGGCCTGAGCCCCACATGTGACCTGGGCCAGCCCTAGGCCTGTGTGTAGAGCCAAAATGGCTCAGAAGTCAGGTCATAGTAACTGGTTGAACCTGTGGAAGCGGAGAAGGGAGGAGGAGAGGAAAGGACAGGATCACAAAGCAGCCTTGATGCCAGAGTGGGGGGGCGCCGTTTACAGAATCAGGAGGGTCTCAACCCTCCTCCCAAACCACCTCTCCTCCCATTTCCCTGTCTTGGTGGGTGGCACTACCACCCGCAACCAGAATCCTGGAGTCTCCCCAGACTCCTCTCTGACCCTGGCCTCCCACCACTCAGCTGTTTTCAAGTCCTGCCCATCTCCTTCTTGACTCAGTGCCCTGCTCCCTGTCCCCACTGCCGCTCCCCTGTCCAGGCCTCCGCTTTCCTCCTGGCTCACTGCCATCTCCCACCCGGCCTGCCACCTCACCTCTCCCCTTATGTCCACCATTCGCACTGCTGCCAAAGTTTTCCTCCCCAAAACTCATCTAGCCATCCTCATCCTTGGCTTGAAGTCATTTTGTAACTGCTTGTTACAGTACAAACCTCTCAGCATGGCTTCAGGACCTTCGTGATCTGTCCAGCCACTTGTGCCCTTCCCCACTGACCTCCACCCAGCCACCTCGGCTGCCTGCAGCTCCCCACAGGGTACTGTGCCTCCCATGAGCCTTCTTGTGCACTCCTCATCCTGCCTGGAACCTGCCCCCGCCCCCTTTCCGGCCAACTCCTGGGCTGGCATAGGAGCTCCTGCTCTATGCTCCCCACTGCTCCCCACCCCCACCCCCCATGGCTCTTATCCGATTGTCCTGGAGTAACCTCCCATCTCTCCCCTGCCACACCTTGAGCCCAGCCCAGAGCCTGTTCTTACTCAATTTGGGCTCCCCAGAGCTCCGCATCCTGCCAGGCAGAGCTTAAGCACTCAGTAAATATTTTGTGAATGGGTGAATGAATGAGTGGGTGAAATTGAGCCATGAGGGAATCCAAGAAGACGATTTGGCAGGGGAGACAAGATGATTTGGTTCTAGGGAGGTTGAGTTTGAGCTGGTGGGACACCTAGTTGGAGGTCCAAGCTGCACTGGAAAGGCGAGTCTAAAGCTTGGGGAAGGGTCTCTTAAGAAACCGGGTTTTCATGTCCTTTGGGTAAATACCCAGAAGTGGAATAGCTGGATCATGTGGTAGTTCCTTTTCTAATTTTTTGAGGAATCTCCACACTGTTTTCCATAGCGGCTGCACCAGTTTGCATTCCCACCAACAGTGTATGAGGGACCCCTTATCTCCACATCCTCTCCAACATTTGTCATTTCTTGTCTTTTTAATTATAGCCATTCTGATGGGCATGAGATGATATCTCATTGTGGTTTTGATTTGCATTTCCCTGATAATTAGTGTTGTTGAGCATCTTTTCCTGCGCCTGTTGGCCTTCTGTATATCTTCTTTGGAAAGATGTCTGCTCAGATTCTCTGCCCATTTTTTTGATCAGGTTGTTTATTTTTGTTGTTGCGTTGTATGAGTTCTTTATATATTTTATATATGGGGAGGGTGAAAGGGGTAACAGGGCACATATGTACAGTGACGGATGGCAGCTAGACTTTTGGTGGTGAACATGAGGTAGTCTATACAGAAGTCAGAAGTCGAACTATAATGAAGTACATCTGAAATTTATATAAACCAATTTATTATAAACCAATAGTACCCCCACCCCCCCAAAAAAAAGAAAAGAAAAGAAACTGTGTTCTCTTTGCTCACATATGAGCCAATTCCCTGAGGAGATCAAATAACCAGCAAGTGGCTCGGTTACCAAACCAGCTTGATCGACTCAGAGAGCCTCAGGGCTGGAAGGACGTTATAAGGACATTGTCTGGTCTAATTCTTTTATTTGACAAATGAGGAAACTAAGGCTGAGAGAAGAGAGAGGCCTGCTCAACAGCTAGTCAGACAGTGCCAGGGCTAGAACCTGTGTCTCTCTTGCAGTCTGAGCTCTCTCTCCTCTCTGGTTCCTGTGGCCTCCTCTCTGAGCCCTGAAGGAGGGAGTTATCACTGAGGGTGAAAGAGGGCCCTGGAAGAACCTACCTCCACAGGTATGCAGACGCTGACTCTTCCTTTCCCGTAGCACAGCTTCTCGTGGCCCCAGAGCTTATGCTTTGAATGGCACACACTCAACAGACAGGATGGACCCTGTGCCCTCCATCAGCAGCTGCCTTTTTTGAGTCTGTTTTGAACACTTGTCACTATCTACTCTCCAGCTCTATAACAGATCAGAAACAGCTGATTAGAAACCATGAGAGAGATTGCTGTGAACAAGAAAACTGACACCCTGACTCAGAAAAAAGCAGCAGATGGGGGTCATTTAGGGTAAGGACCAATAGCCTTTCACACCAAAGCAACGAGAAGACTCTCCTTCCTGTTCAAATCCCAATGCAAGTCCTAATAGTGATATCCAAATTATGTTCAGCACATTTTGCTTATTTATGATCTGCAAGCATTTAGACATTTCATAAGGATTTTCATCTAATGTGATTAAAATTATTAAGGTTCTGGCGGTATAACAAGTAAGCCCTCTGCTATGGAAGGGAGGAATTATCCCTAAGGATTCCAGATAACACAGGGTCTTCATCATGACAAAGGGCAGAAGAGAACTGGCATTTGTCATTTGGCCACAATATACCAGGCACATCGTCTGACACACGTTCTCATGTAACTTTCACAACTCTAACCTCACACACAGCAGGCGCTCAGTCATGTCTGTTGGGCCCATGAATGACTGAATGGATTGAGTTGTTTCGGTCTCATTTTAGATATTGCAAAAAGGAGGCCCAAAGACTAGAACTGCCTCTCCGTGATCACCCAGTGGCAGCTGGGAGCCTGAGCTCCGGCCGCAGCCTGCATTGAGTCGGCAGGAAGGACAGCTGCACTTCCCCAGAGGGAACAGTGGAGTTGACTCTGCAGCCATGCTCACCAGCACCAGGAGCACCAGCTGAGGGCCCGCTGCGTCTGCAGCCCAGCGTGAGGAGCACCGCTTCCAGGCGTGTGATGTTCCCTATCACTTATGCTTTCTTTGGTTCACAGGAATGAATTCAGAGCATGGACGGACATCAAGCCCGTGAAACCAATAAAAGCCAAGCCCCAGTACAAGCCCCCAGACGATAAGATGGCTCACGAGACCAGCTACAGTGCCCAGTTCAAAGGGGAGGCCAATAAGCCGACACCAGCTGACAATAAGGTCATTGATCGCAGAAGAATACGCAGCCTCTACAGCGAACCTTTCAAGGAACCCCCAAAGGTGAGAGAGATCCTGTGGGGAGCCCACCAGCACAGCTTGGAATGGAGGGCTAACTTGGCAGAGCGTGAGGGCCGGGCTGCTGCCAACTGGCCCAGCCCCCCAGACTCTTAAGATCCCTCCATTTCTTTTTAGCACACTGAGACGGAGGAGCTTGTGAACAGGAACCTTTGTTAAAGTCAAAGGGAATGTTAAAAAGGAATAGTACCTAAAATAAAAACAGCTTGAAGACTGGCAGATTTCCAGAGAACTAGCTTCTGATTTTGAGAAACCCAGAAAAAAAAAGGGGGCAGAAATCTCACGTGAGCCCTAAATCCCATTGCTTTAAAATAACTGTGCTTTTGCCCCTGAAGCGCTGGCCCAGTATGGGGGGCATCCTCCCCGGCTTCCTTCCCACCCAGCCCCTGCCTCGTCCTCAGCTCCCGTCACTGGACGCTTCCTTACCTCCTGAGTCCCTGAAAACAGCCTGCCCTTTCTTATCCCTGCCCTCGGTAAACACCCTCTGTCGCAACACACCTGTCACATCATCTGCAAGATGTGTTCCGAGTAATTTGTGATTCTCCTGAACGGTTTGTGAATGACTTCCATTTCTGAGTAACTTACAGTAGATGCGGGATTTTCCTGTAATAACACTGCTTTGCCCCGTTTGCATCCCAATATGCATTCGTGAAAGGGAGAAGCAGGTTGGAGCTTCAGCTGCTGAAGCAGGAATCATACATGCCAAAGCTTATTCTAGGCTGTCAAGCCGCATGGAATTGTGCAAATATCAGCTCTCCTATCAATAATAGCAGGAGAAGTCTGAGAAATTAGCCTTTTCTCTGCTTTTGCCCTAAAGTCTTGCACTCAGGTGGAGTTTCCTACTTGGCCCAGGACTGGTTTACAGGTAAGGTAACTAACCAAGCCAGTTTGCCTGGACTCCTCCAGTTGCAGCAGTCAAACATGGTTCCATGAAAGCCCTCAGTGTCGGGCAAACCAGGACAATTGGTTACCTTATTTACAGGTCAGGGGTGACGGAAAACGCCCAGACCTCATTGAGTGAAAACCTGGGCTGTGAGGTTCAGTGTCATCTCTGTCCACCTTCCACAGATGAGGTGGGACCCAGGACGTGGGGTTGGCTTTGGACAAAAGAAGATTCAAGGGGAGGAAAGAGGGAGGATGGGGGAAAGTCAGTCTAGAGAGGGATGGGAGGCGGCTAGCGTATTGAAGGGTCATACCTGGTGGCTCCAGAGTTCTTGAGAAAGAAAAAGCAAGTCTGTCTCCAGGGAATGAGGGGGCAGAACGAGAGGAGGGGGCTTGAAGAGAGTGGCGTGGGCTTGAACAGCTGCTCTGGGGAAAATGGTCCAGGGTTCCAGCCAGAAAGGAGGAGCGGGTGGCTGCGCACTGCTGAAGGCCTTGCTGAGACGAGCCCACTGGGCCAAGCGTCTCAGCAAGGGCACTTCTCCACATGAGCTCACCATCCTAGAGACAGACTCAGAGGAGAGGCCGGCTGAGGCTGTGGCGTAAACCACCCCAGAATCTCTGTGTCTTCCTCCAACAAAGGTTTATTTCTCATTAATACATGTCCTTTGTGGGTTGGCTGTCTGTCACTTGGCTCCTCGTCACCTGTTCAGTCTGGGCCTCTCTGTGGCAGAGGAACAGAGAGCACTGGGAAGCACAAGCTGACTCTTGATCTGTCTGGAGGTGACCTACGTCACTTCTGCTCACATTTCATTGACTAAAGCAAATCGCTTGCCTGCCTGAGTTGAACAGGGCCGTGAGGTCTAATCTTCCCACAGGGAAGGGCAGCAGATGGAGCAGACTAGTAACATGGTCCAGCACCAGAGGTGGTCCAGGGGGAGGGCTGCCAGGCCAGGGAGCCAGTGTGTCCTGCGAGAGTGTTACCAACGTGACCGACCATGGGGTTCAGACAGGAGAAGCCAAATGACCTCACGTCCCTGACAGTGCTTTACACACTGTGCTCCCTCGGGGTCAAATGTGATGCACCATCACCGTTATCCTTTAATTCACCACGTCTTCTCTCTAAATTCTCTCTCCACTCCCACCCCTTTTGTGTTTCTGTATTTGTGGTCTGTCTGTCTGTCTCCCCATGCAGGTGGAGAAACCTAGCGTTCAGAGTTCCAAACCAAAAAAGACCTCAGCGAGCCACAAGCCCCCCAGGAAGGCCAAAGACAAGCAGGCGGCGTCGGGCCGGGCCTCCAAGAAGAAGAGCGCGGAGGGCGCCAGCGCCGCCCCGCCCGACAACAAGGAGCACAGTAAAGAGATGAACAATAAGCTGGCTGAGGCAAAAGAGTAAATGTCACTGCATTTTTCCTTTCATTCTTCTCTCCTTTTCTTTTTTTTTTAACCAACCAACAAAAAAGGCCACAAAATTGATTAGAGGCTTCTCATCTGCCTTGGTCCCGAGTGTCCCAGGAGCTCTCTGGTTTGGTTTCTTTGAATGGAGGAATCCTCTTTCAAAGATTGTGTGGCATGCCTCCTGTCCAAACCAGAGCAGCCGGCCGCGCGTGGCAGCGGGGTCCACGCTGCGGGCCCCTGGACCCCTGGGCGGCTGGCTCACCGGCTGTGCCTCGGAGGCAGCTGGGCCTGCACTCGGGGGAGGGCAGGCAGGGCGTGGCAGAGGCAGTTCTGACCGGGCTGCAGAGGAGACCTCCTGCTGGCGCTCGGAAATGCCTATGGCGTGGCCTCCTCCTATCTTCCCCCCAGGAGATCAATTTTGCGACCGTGATCAATTTTGAACTTTAGGTAAACGTGTTCTTTTCCAAAATTCAGAGAGTTATCATGTGCTACAGAAGCTCAACTTGGGCTTCAGCAATTGGCAAAATCTGTGGAAATATTTAAAAAAAAAACAAAAAAACCCTCGGCCTTAACGTCAATAAAATGAGTCGCGTCTGTTAAGTTTAAGTCAGTTTTTCATAGAATCTTCTGTTAGAAACCTGTGACTCCCTTCGGTTTCCTATCAGTAAATTGTATACCAAGTAATAGATGTGCCACTGGTGACGAAACCTAGGCCAGGTGAAAGGTTAGGTGTTTTAGGTACGTTCTCGACATCACAGGGAGATGACGAAAGTAAGGAGACTATTTTCCTCTGTTTACCCTCAGCCTACCCAGTGCTGCCGATTTTGCAACTGGTTACAGGTGACGGAGGAAGAAAGCTGGAGGTGTAGGGGTCGTATATTTAGAACGTGGCTTTCTTGCTTCTGAGAAACACGAGGCCGGAGGTAGACATAGTGGCCTGTGTGGCGATGTTTACTTTCCCTTCCTGCGCTGTTCTTGCTCCGGCCCCCAGGGAGGACAAGGACGCTGAGCTTCAGGCTACGGGAAATGTCTGTGACTTCGCTGAAGACTAGGAGAGTTCCCTGCTAAGTGCTTAGCCAGCATATTTGACCTCATTCATGTATAAAAGCAGCTCTCACTGTATTCTGTGTCACGTGTCTGTGCTGCCAAAGCCCCCAGGGGCGGCAAGTGCCACCTTAGCCGTGCTAGAGTCGTGTCGTAGGCATTAGTCAGAGAGTTGTGAGAAGACCCCCAGTGCTCGTGAGGGAACCCAAGATACCCCAAGAGAAATTACATTTGCAAACCCCGTGACGTGTATTGCCCAGTCCGCTGTCTTTCTCCTGTCCTTAAAGTGCTTGCCGCTGCCAGCGTTCTGGAATCGCTGGACGGCCGTGGGACGCCAGGCCTCTGTGCAGGCTGGCTTTTCCTTCGTCGTGAAAGTGATGTAGAGTGAAGTTCTCCCCGTTCCTTACCTCAGAAGTCCCTTCAGGTCCTCCTGGTCTGGAGGAAGTGGGGGCTCCACCAGCTCTCTGTATCCTGACTGTTCAAGCAGCAAAGTCTCTGTTTGCACCATCTTGTTTGTCCCCTTGGGGCTGATTGAGAAGTCTTTTGCAAATTAATTGAGCGTCTGCCACGCGGGCCATATTTCTTAAGGGAACAGGACCAGTAGCACTGATGCGCTCGGCCAGGCCCGAGGCCATCTTCCTGTGTATCTCCGGGGATGGAACTGTGAGGAAGGAGAAGTATGGAGCAAGGTAGGAAATGCTAGTGAGTTTCAGTGTTCATGAGTCACACATTCTGATGCCTGTCTGGAAATGACTAGCGTGGATCTCAGTACCGATGCCAGCTATTTGCTAGCTCCTCTTAACATTAACCAGAGAGCTCTATCAACAGGATCTTAACTTCATCCAGAGAATTTGCCAATGTATGTTCGTTCTCTCAAGATCTAGCATTAGTCAGACAAGTTGTTGTTAGCCACAATTTGGATTTCTCCATAGAATAGTCATATATTTTTTGCAGATCAAGCAAATCAGAGTTTACAATACCCAGGGAACATTCATTCACTTATTGAGTGCCTGTGTTCCAGACACTGTACTAGACGGGGTGGGTGGTGTAAATAAATCTGTCTCCACGGCAGCACAGCCAGAACTACACGGCTGACTTGATCCCTGTGTCTGATTCAAGCTTGTGTTGCCCAAATCGTAGAGTCTCCGCCCACCTCACAGCCCCAGGGATGTCTCGTACCCTGCCCGACTTGAGGCTTTACGTGACAGGTCTCGTGTCTTTTCAACCCTCGGTATCCCCGTCTTTTTAACATCTCCAACCGAGAAAATCCTGTCTGTATTTCACTTTGACTCTTGAATGTGCCCCTTCGCTGGCAAGAAACTTCCTTTGATTTCTACCGTTTACATATAAAACTCAGCCAGTCTCCTTCTGTATCGCAAACCTACCGATTGAAACTGATTTTGGCTTCACAAGCAGTTTTGGTTTTGCCTTTCTGAAGGTGACCAAGCTTCCAGCACTTGTTCTGCCTGTTTTTGCCCGTTTCCCCGTGGGTTCCTGAGCTTTCCCAGCAAAAGAGCAGGGGCTGAAGCTTTCCCATTGTCTGCTTCACTGGCCTGCAAAAATAACCCCTAAGGCTGTGCATCGGCTCCGAAGCTTCTGTTATCCGCTGGTGCTCCCATTCGGTCTGTTCCCTGTGCCTCTCCGAGGCAGACAGGAAGTGTCTAATTATGATTTTGTGGCCTGGATTTTGTTGCATACCACAGATTGTCTATGTAATGTGTAGCGCACACCTCTCTTGGTGCTATTTCATTCCTGCTGTTAGTAAGAAAATGACGAAAATATTCATGTATAGCCAATTGATTGTGACGTGCTTGTGGTCTGTGCTTGCTCAGAAAAAACCAACCAACCAACCAAGAGTTCTTCCGATTATAAATAAATGCTAAAGACGAACACCACTTTCTTGATCTTATTTCCTTGGTAAGGCCCAGCCGAGTAGGTGAAGGAACCAGCCTTTGCCATCTGAGCCACTCTCCACGAGATGAGCTGTTGCCCTGCATTTTTTCGGGGTCCTCCATAATGCAGCTTAACTCTCTTAGATTGCCTCTCAGATACTAATTGCAAGCAGTCAGAGCTAAGTGTTGGGAAAGGCGAAGATGGACCGGGAGACCACTGGCCGACAAGGTAGTGTAACGTTTTGGTCCCATGTTGCTGGGGGTGAGCGCCGCCAGCGCCACAGCTGCCGGGAGGCTGGGCCCTGACTCTCCACCCCTTTCCCATGAACCTACAGCACCATCGGTTCTGGCTTTTTCTCCTCCCAAGGGACGGCGGAGATGCCTTCACTTACCCATTGATCTGGTCATTGTGGAGGGTCCCCCCTCCAGAGGTTGGCTCACTGTATGAGTTATGAGTGTGCCAGTCTTGTGTGTGCCTTATATGCCCACTTTCACATCCTTCTGCTAAAGTGGGAGACAGAAGGTTCTATACTTTCATACGGATCACTCTTCCTTTTTCCAACATATGTTGATTGAATAGCTATCATGGACCAGGCACTGTGCTGGGCACCAGGGAAACTAGGATGACTGCGACCACACCTCTGATCACAGTGGTGCACGAAGGAGGAGTCTGTTCTAGCTGGTTCCGTGGATCTGGGAGGACCTCAGTGGACAGGCAGGTGATGACCAGGTGAACAGAGCCTGGGATGGTGAAGGCATGCCAGATGGAGGGAACTGCACGAGCAAAGGTGTGGAGGGGTCCAGCCCCAGGTGAGCTCAGGTCCTGGGAAGTAGTTCGCTCAGGGAGGGTCAAGGCAAAGGCTGGAGGTGGCAGAGTCCGTCCTGGAAAAGCCCGGTGCCCGTGAGTGGGTGGCTGCTAGCTGGGGTCTCCATCCATACACCCACCTCTCCATGCTCCCTGCCGTCATGCTGCTCACCCTCACCCACATGTCGGGCAACAACCGCCAGTCTTCTCATGCTCTAGGCTGGGACTTGTATTCTATTGCTGGTCTCCAGTTTCTGGGTTTTGGGGAAGAGCTGTGGTAGGAATCAATCGACAGTCACATATACGAAAATCCTCTATCTGTTTGTCTTCCAGATGGACAGAGAGCACTCCACCCACCTGCCTGCCTTTGTAAGGGCAGAAAACACAAAATACTGTTCAATAAGTAAAACAAGTACATAAAAGTATACAGCTCGCTTTCGATCAGTTAAGGATTGTTTTGATCAAAGCCAGGGAGTGAGAGAGATGCAAAGAAAGACAAGAGAAACAGAGAGGTAGAAATAGAGGCAGAGAGAAAAAGACAGACAGAAAAACACATATATGGAGACACCAAGGATAACCCCCGAGAAGGTGAGATACGCTCAGAACCAGAGAGAGTGCAAGGGTGGGGCAGCGGTGAAGGCAGGAAGGCGGGGAGCCTACCTGGCTTTGTCTGTGCCTCCCAGGGGTCGGGGCTCAGCCAGGGCCTCGGCCTGCAGCTCCCACCGTGCTCCCCGATGCTGCCCGAAGCCAGGAGGCAACCCTATAACCCATTCCTAATATCACCCCGCTAAAACAGCAAACAAGAGTAAAACCAGCCCCCTGGTTTTAAAATAGGTCATCGTTACTAAATGAGTTATAAGTGTTTTTTAATTCTTCCTTAGCGTTTGTGTGTTCTTAGAGAAATTCTTCCCTCATTTTTTTTTCCCACTAGGGTTTAAAATTTATAAGCTGCTTCTCATAGATTTGGGGAGTGTCAAGTCGCATTTCACAAAGGCTATGAACTTCCTTAGCGTGTCGTCGTGATTTCAAGGTCCTTTTACTGCTACAATGTCTTACAGCAGTTTAAATTTTCAGGACCACGGGTATTAAAAGCTTCTTTCAGGATGTAGCCTGTGGACCATCTACAGTTAAGGCAAGCCCCCACCCCCAGCCCCACCTGAGGCCAGCAGGGCTGGGTCAGCAGCTGGAGCAGCCAAGGCCACCGAGACAGGAGAGGCAGCTGTTTGAAAGGAACGGAACCAGCCCTCTCTTAG